TATTGAGCATGCATCATTTTTCTACCTGGATTATTGAGCATGCATCAGGATGTTTCTGTTTTACCTGCTCCATTCATTTGCTGCACTCTGCTGCATCAGCTGCACCTTTGTCTTTGTCTGTCTCTGTCCATCGGATGGACGTCTGTACGTTTCTTGCGCACCAGTGGAGCAGTGGGAAACTGAAACTCGTTGTGATCCGGGGCTTTAACGACGCGCCTGGTGGTAGTAGCTGAGAGTCACTCCCGTGTCATGCTCTAAACTCCAGATCGTTTGAGTTCATGTTAAAAGTTTAGCTTTAAAAGTGGGAGCCAACCTGCAGTTCTTTTAGCAAAATATCTTAAGATCCAAAGAAGTGATTTTGATCAAACTCTCAGATTAACTTGAACTGGAATTATGACGGCTGCTTCAGCTAATTGACCATAATTCACATTAAAATGGAAGATTGTCAAATTATAAAATCTGCTACTTTTATTTTTTACTCTTTTTTTAAAGAAAATAAAAACCTGTCAGTGTCACATCTGCAATCACCGCTATCTTTATGCCGTCACCTCAAACAAGTCAAGGTGATCAAGGATGACGTCCATCCTTTGGATTTATTTCTCTAAAGGTGTTAAAGATACATGAGGTGTTCTGTCTGTGTTTAAAACAAACAACAACAACAACAACACATTCTGCCGTTGTGTGTTTGTCTGACAGCGGCGTCCAACCTGGATGTGGAGAGTAAGCTGACAGCACATTTCCGGGCTCCCCGGCTGCAGCAGAGGAATGTTTTACACCCCTCCACACGGCCAGCATGTCTAGAAGAGCTTCATCAGCAAGCCAACGTCAGCTCCTGGTCCTTCAGCCGAGGTGAGCCCCCCCAAGCATTAACAGATATGTTTGGACCATGTCCCACTGTTTCATTTTACTTCCATTTAAATCCATACATCATCTTTACCCACTTCTTCCTTTTCGGGTCATGGGGGTCACTGGTGCCCATGTCCAGCAGTCACTGTGTGACAGGTGGGGGACACCTGGACAGGTCTCCAGTCCATCACAGGGATACCTGGACAGGTCTCCAGTCCATCACAGGGACACCTGGACAGGTCTCCAGTCCATCACAGGGACACCTGGACAGGTCTCCAGTCCATCACAGGGACAGTTTAGTTACCAGTCAGCCTAACATGCATGTTTTTGGTCTGTGGGAGAAAACCCACATGGAGAGAACATGCAAACTCCACCCAGAAAGGTCCTGAGCAGGGATTTGAACCAGTGACCTTCTTGCTGAGAGGTAGCAGCTCTACCAACTTTACCACCATGTCGCCCCCATTTGAAGCTTCATTTGTAAAAGTCACCTGTCCAGAGAATCCCTCAGTGCAGCAGCTTGCTGTAACTTTCTGAAACCTTTATACTCTTCTGCCCCCTAGCGGGTGTGTTTTGCAAGTGCACCCCAACACGTGTGAAACATTTAAAAAACAATAAAATTCCAACAGCCAAGCCAACTACAGTACTAATGTTCTTGTAAAGCTCGTTGTAGTGACAGACTGGCTTGTGAAGTGCTCTCTGACAGCTACGTGCTGATGCGTCTCACAGCATCTCTGTGTTTTTGTGTGTCCAGACCTCCAGAGGAGTCCGTCAGGAAGCGGGGAGCGCAGAGCAAACATTTCAGCCTCGCCCCCGGTGCCCACGTTCCCCTCCCCTTCCATCGTCCCCAGGAGAGACAGGAGGGGGGCGGCTCTGACAGCGGTGAGGCTTTTCTCTGTGTGGCTGTGAAACGAAACCTTCAGATCATCATACACAAAACAACTTAGCTGAATTTGAGAAATGTATATAAAATTAAAAAAAAAATACAATCTTAAGAATCAGAATTGCAAAAATATCTTCTCTTGAACTTAAAATGTGTTTTCACTTGGTGGTATTTTGAAGTGGGCTTTTCTGTAAAATCTCTGAACTCCACAAGGTAAATAGTTGAAGAGGAGCAAAGAGCAAGTGGACTGCTGCTGTCTTCAAACAACTCCCGTCTGGAAAATGTTGTGCAAGTTCTCCTGAGCGCTCGTTCAGGTTATCACTTTCTCACTACAGCCATGTAGCTGGAACTGAGTCGGTCTTTAAGAGCACAAAAAGTACCTAGTTGCAGCTTGAGGAGTTTCAGGAGGTTTTAGCCCAAAAAGCTGTGTAATGTGAACTTGAATGCAGTCCACCAGTTTCAGTAATACTCTTTCCATAAACCTTTAGAAGTTCAAGTGGCTCAGGTGATTCTTGACAGCACAACGAGCTTTTAGACGAGGACCTGCTGTCCTGACAGGAGAAGGCCCGCTGGGTGAACTTTAACTCCAGTCTTCAACATTTCACAGCAGTTTGTGCATCATTTACACGTGCGCGTTGCTGCCGGTCTCGTGTCACACGTTTATTTGTGATATTTATTTAATGACGTGCTTCAGAGACTCAAAGGAAGGTCTACATGAAAAATGTTTAAACTGCCATAAGAGTTTTGAGAGGAGTGGTGTTACTGCAGCACATGTGTTTTTATTTTATTTAATTGTGTATTAATTAATTTAATAAATTTAATTAGCTGTTCGCTAATCAGCCTTGTCAAAATTAAACTCTATTTCTTAGCTGTGCTGATTAATGCTCAATAATCCAGGTTGTAAAATCTAACAAAGTTAAGTCAGGTCCTCTGGATGGATTTCGTCTTTCATCCTAGAGACTTCTTCAGTCCAGGGAGCTGCAACAAACTCAGCTCCTTATAGTTCTGATCTATTTCTGAGAACTATATGTATCATTTGAAGAGCTATCTGTAACAGGTAAGATATTAACTGCCATAAATATTTATTTAAAGTATATTTATGCTTCTGAGTCACTGTAAACTTTAAGTTTAAACACATTACTTGATTTGTGCACGATGCACGTGTGTTTATACTATGAAAATGATAGAATTATGTTTGTTTGTTCTCTTTGGGAGCAGCCACAGAAGCATCTTATGCCCCTTTTGCACCGCTCCTCCTCAGCCCAGATCAGCCTGGATTTGTACTGAACTTCAGAACCGGTTCTGGAGGCGTGTCCAGAATCCAAAATCCTGCTGATGAACTTTAATGAACTTTAGTTCATCATTAAGAGAGAGAGTTCTGCGATGAGTTAAACTCAAAGCAGTCTGCTCCTCAGATAAATAAAGTTCAATTATTAGTTTTAAATATGAATGTTTCTGTTAACTTATTTTAAATATGAATATTTCTGTTCAGTGCCCTGAGACGACTTCTGTTGTGACTTGGTGTTATATAAATAATCTGAATTAAATCTGATGAACCAGATCCTACAAAAACATTTATATTTAAAAATCTATATTTCTTCATCATTTGATGTATTTGCACTCATTGTGTGTACTTTTATTGTGGTTTTGTTTCTTGTATACAGATTTTATTTTAGTGATTTAAGTGATGATCAGTGATATTTCTCACCTTACTGACTTTGTCTATAAAATAAGAAAGACAAAGTTGTCAATCCTCGTTTGAAGAGACGGGAACCATCAAACAATGATTTAAAGTGTAATTCTTGTTTGTGATTTGTTCATCTGGGGGTTAGAATAAAGTTGAACTAAAGGCTGTGTCTCTTCTTTAAACATGTTGGAGGGAAATATTCCTGAGATCCAATAATTTTGACTTTTTATGATTTTTCAGCTGAGTTAACTTTAATTACCAGATTATTTAATAAAGTCAAAGTGAAAACAGGATTTCATGATAAAGCCGGCACCGTTTATTTATTTTTATTCTTCACTGATAAAAAAAAAAAACATATTTTTTATACATAAAATGTTTTTTTTAAAACGCCCCTCGCACAGTGACTGCTGGACATGGGCACCAGCGATCCCCATGACCCAAAATGGAAGAAGTGGGTAAAAGATGATGGATGGATGGATGGATGGATGGATGGATGGATGGATGTTTAAAAAAAGTTTCCACCCTCCCTCTCGAACTCCCGGTCCTCCCGCCTGCCAGGGCTCAGACCCCGGTCTTTGTGAGCATGCGAGGCTGGGGCTCGGGGTCCGGCCTCGCATGCTTCAACGTGTCCGCAGCTCGTATGACCCTCCACAGTGACCCCGCTCGCATTTTGTTGTCGGTCACCAAACACAAAAAACGCCTGGACTTCAGCGTTAAACACATTAAACACAAAATCTTAAAAATAGATCCAGCCGCTGCTCTGCGTTCTGACAAATTGCAAATGGCGGATCGGTGAAAAGTTTCTGAGATCCAGTGACTCCTCCCCCTGACCAATCAGTGTCCTGCATTCATGATTCGGTCGGACTCAGCTCGCACGGTCCCACCAGAGAAGCAGGGACAAAACAAAGTCCAGAGTCAGCCTCGAATCAGCTACAAATACTGTGGAATAGTGATTTTTGTGTGGAGGGCTGAGCAGGAGCTGTGCAAAAGCCCCAGTTACAGATGTGAGCACACAGTTAGCAGCAGCTCCGGTGAAGATGGACGCAGACTGCGTTCATCATGTTAGTGTAGAGAGTGCGGCTGTGGCTGAGTGGTTAGAGCAGTCGTCCTCCAATGCGAGAGTTGGGGGTTCAAATCCACCAGCAGTCACATGCCGAAGTGTCTCAGGGCAAGACACTGAACCCCTCACAGCCTCCGATGTGTGTCCATCAGTGTATGAATGGATGAAGCTCTGATTAGTCTCTAGAATGATTTGTTCAATTATCTTTGTAGAGATCTAGTATAGAGCTGTATGAACGGGTAAATGAGGCACAGATTGTAAAGAGTTTTGAAGATCTTGATTGGATAGAAAGGAGCTGTATAGGTACAGTCCATTTAGTGCACGTTTGATTTGGATCAGTGCAGCTCCGACTCACCTCTGTGACACATCCTCTGTCTGTCACGTGTGTGTGATCTCTCCATGTTCAGATCAGTCTTTTGTTTACATGTTGTTTTGTTTTTGCCCTGTCATTTAGTTTGAATCCACCCGCTCCTCCTCCCCCACTGAATGTTGCCGCCTCTCTCCTTGGAAGCGAAAGGTATCATCCTGCACTCCCTCCATCTTTGTTCCAGCGGGCTCCTTCTAGCACTTTACCTCATCTGTTCTTGTTTTGCTTGCTGCCTTGTAATGTACATGTGGAGTTGTTATTTTAATGCATGTCCTGTAAGAGTAGCAGCATCCTGCAGCTTTGTTGTTGTCATTCAACCTTTATTTCTACAGCTTGGTCCCATTGAGCCTCAGGGACTCGTTTACAAGAGAGACCTGATTTTAACAAAGACTCAAGACAACAGTGGACAACAAAGACAATCATAAAGGATGCATACAAATTGAGAAGAACAAGTGAAAGAAAATGGCATTAAAAACCGAACCAAATAAACAGATTATAAGGCGATGTAGAAAACTAAAAACAGGAACGTCTGCGTTGGGTCTTGCAGGAACTTATCAGATGTTTGAAGCCACTAGAGAGGTCAAAGGTCGAGAGCTTCAGATCTTTTTACAAGATATTCCAGGAAACAGGAGCGGAGTAGGAGAAGGTCCTTTTGTCTAGTTCAGTCCTCACTGAGGGAACACTGCAGGTAATGATGTCCTGAGAGCGCACGCTGTAGCTGCACTCACGCAGAGACATGTAGGAGGAGATGTATGAAGGCAGCAGACCAGGAAGTGATTTAAAGATGAAAATATACCAGTGAGAGGGTCTGCGTGAAGTTCATGATGTCCATCCAACATCTGCAGGGTTCTTGTAGGAGCGTTCATGTAAATAATGTCACCGTGGTCAATTGAGGGAAGGAAAGTCACAGATACAAGGTGTTCCTCAGGGTTCAGAGTTAGACAGGATCTGTTTCTGAAAAAGAAACCCAGTTTAACTTTCAGTTTCTTTACCAAGTTTTCCACATGGGGCTTAAAAGAGAGATGTGAGTCGACCAAGATACACAAATATTTATAGGAATCAACAAACTCAATGGGGACACTATTTGAGGATAAAATCGGAGGAAGAACTGCTGGGACCAACTTCCTGTTTGAAAAAAGCATCCCTTTGGTTTTGTCAGTGTTTAGGACAAGTTTGAGGTGGAACAAGTCAGTCTGGATGTAGTTGAATGCAGATTTCAAAAGCTGGAAAGCCTTAGCAACAGTTTTATCTTGACAGTAAACAACTGTGTCATCAGCATAGAAATGTATGGATGCATTAGGGATGCTCTGACCTACATTACGTATGTAACGTATAATTCAGTTGTTGGGCTGAAGGACCTGCCTCTGAGTTTTCGTGCATGTGAGGAATGTGTGTGAGGGCCACAGCCTCAGCAGCCTGGGTTTCTCTAATGACAGGGTTGACGTCTGGAAGCTTGCGCCTGTGATTACCCATGATGCCTCTGTGCTGTTGTTTCCCCTCTGCCCAGCTGATGTCCTCGTGTTTTCCCTCTTTGAGCTGGTTGTTTTACCACAGCTACTTGAGGCCATGATGAAGACAGAAAAGAGCCATGAACAGAAACAAAATGACCAGTCCTCATTTTTCCCTCTCCTTCCTGCAGCCAAACCTTTGTCCTCACATCACTTTTTTCCAGTCTACGTCCAGTTTCTCAGACTCCGCTCAAAGTGCTGTCTCCCCCAAACAAATCAGCTGTAAATGGTCTCACTTTGATTTTTTTCTATAGTTTCCAAGGAAACTGGTGTCCTTTGTAACCAGTCAGGGTCTCATTGGTCTGCTGGGAACAGAGAGCACAAAGGCTCCAGAACTAGCTTTAAATTGGGGGGGTTTGGGTGTTGGAGGTGGGAACCAGCTCAGCCTGAGAATCACCCCCAGTTTCACATGTCTCTGAGGAAGACTGGAGGTAAGGTCCCCTGTGTGTGGAGCAGCTGCTGAAGATGTTGGAGGTTGGACGGAGAGTCTGAGGTTTGTAGAAACAGTTTTGATGTTTTCTGAGTTGAGGACGAGGTGCGGTGCTGGCTGATTCTGAAGCTTGGAGGAATGTCACCGCTCAGTTTCATTCCCAGAAATATTTCTGGAGACTCGTTATCATGTCAGAGAGCCGTAGAGGTGCCATGGATTTCCACAGCAGCAGGTCGACCCTGCCATGTGTTCTTCTTTAAGCACACCAAACAAAGTTGTGTGTGTGTTGAGGAGTTATTTGTCTGAGGTTTGTACACTTTTTGCATGAAATGTTTCATGTGCTCTCCATTTCCCCTAACTCTGAAGCATGTTTTTTTACTTTCTCTACTGAACCTCCTCACTTCAACCGCTGATGTGCACACATTCCCCTCTAGAACTGTGCTCATGTAATCCGTCTGCTGCAACACTTCTAACAGTCTAACCATGCAAATATCCATCTGTTGCAGGCCGCGCCCACTGACCCTGACACAGACGGGGTGGCCCTAGGTCACCGCTCTAAGTTTCCCATCCCTAACATCCCCTCCACCCTGGACAAGCAGACCAACTGGTCTAAAGTTCTTCCGTTGCCCACCCCCGAGGAGAGAATGAAAAGCAATACCCAAGTCATCACTTCATGCATCATCCCCATTAATGTGACTGGTAAATTCAATCCACCAGATGTTTCCAGTTTGACTCTGTTTACACAGGAACAATGAAGAATTCTTGCTCTTTTTAACTTTTGCCATAGCCGTCTTTAACCAAGCCAAGGTTAGCATAAAACTCAACACACATTGTTAGTTGACAGAGGAAAATGTGACACTAAAAATAAGTTTATGTTTTTGCACCAGACAGTTTTCACAGTGTTGGATCATTTCATAGAATACGTGTTTGAGGGGAAAGTACACTTGATTCTTCTTTTCAGGTGCCATTTTGTAGGTCAGTTTGTACGTATGCCTTCGCCCCCCCACCCCCCAGTTCCCTAATAGTACTTCTCTCAGTATCTTAATGTACTCTGTTGATTCTCAGTAATTAAATATATTGATGAATTATATACTTCTAAATATTCATAAAGATGTTGATTTGTACTCACACTTGTGTTTTTGTTGACACTAGAGGGAAACAGATATTAATCCTGACCCTGTTCTAAACCAAATTTCAACCCTTATCTTACTTTAAAACAAAAGCAGTTTGCTAGAAATTTGTCCTATACTGAGATAAATTATATCTAATCTAATCTTATCTTATCCCAAAACTCTTTTTAATCCTAAACCATGAAATATGTAGCAGTCAGGCTCAAAGTTGTGAAAACGTTAACAAACTGAAACATAGTGTCTTCACTTGTCTCTGCCTTTCGATATCTCCTCGTTAGAGCTACACTTTATGTGTAATTGATTCTTTAATTTAAAAAAAGATATTTAAAGGAAGTCAGAAAACTTTTTGTCCCTGACGTGGAACGAAAAGGGTGAATTGGGCATACCCTCTGTCAGTCTGCCCATCCGTGCATGTTGTGAACACGATAACTTGAAAAATAAGTTAGGTACCAAAAATTGTTGCCATGTGAAATTTCAACATGGCTGCTGTCATAGATATGCAAACATTGTGAGTTAAAAATAAGCAATGTGCTGACTTGCATTTTGGTAAATGGCTGCATAGTGCATACAGGCATAAAAAGACATGCGCACACACACACA